TATAAATATTTTCAATTTTAGGGACATTCAGCTAAGAACAGGGGCCATTATTATCAATCAGCCTTAAAAGACCTATCATAAAAGTCCATGTAAACGAGAATGGGCTGCAAATATGGACCTAATAATTTCATAGTTACCGGCGATCCACTGAACGCACACTGTTCTCTCTCCGCTGCGAACTTGCTCTGCTTTTCTTCGCCTCTTACTCCGGTCAACTGCTCTTCTTCTCCCTCTGTTGTGAATTCGTTTGCAGTGCAGCGTCTGCCTCTGGTGCGTAAATAAAGCCTCAATTTTTCAACTTTGAAGCTCAATTTGTTTGCCTTATTATAATTGTCGCATAATCTGTTATTCTTTCTCTTTGATATTTCTTTTCTCAATTAATTTAAGTAGTCACAGACCCATATGGACATGCTAATTGCTTTTATAGGCCGTACCAACTAGTTGAAATTAACTATTAGTGAGGTATTATGGAGTAAATTAATCAGGCTGAATCTCTTTTAGACATGATAGAATCATTACATGGAATTTCCCTTTACTGGTTAAAAGAAAATTGGTTGTTAGGAGCGTTTATGCCAGTGATATTATACAGAACCTTTAGTGTTGAGAATCTAAATTATTGAGTATTGGAAAAAACGGGTCCAAGGTATTAAGGATTCATATAGCCGACCGCTGGTGAGAGTTTGCTTGTTGTTTATATATATATATATATATATATATATATATATATATATATATATATATATATATATATTCATATTTTATTTTCTGAATTGACTGTGTCTTCTGTTTGCTACTCAGTGGGTGTGGTCTCAATTTGAACAAACATCACTAAATCAGTGTCTCTAGAGGGTTCCATGGCAGGCAATGGCCTGCCAACTCTGGGTCGTGTGAAGCTCATTGATTTGATACCATTGGAAGGTCTTCCTTCTGATTCGTATAAATTATCAGTCTCAACTTTGTCACAGTCATTGGCTCAATATTCAGCCGCTATTATCCAGCTATCCACAAGTGATGGAGCTCTTTTGAGGTCTAGTCTAGAGTCTGCCCGACTTTACTTCCAACACAAACCCTCTTATCCTGCCGCTGATGTTATTCATTCTGATGACTCTCGAGAATGGTGTAAGACTTCTGGCTACCATGCAGATCCTCAACAATGGCAAGAAACTTATGATTTCAGGCCAGGGCTCACTCCTACAGAACCCAGCAGTGATATTGAATTTCCTCCTGCTGGTTTATTGGATGTATTCTCTCTGCTTGGAAGAGCAGCAAGAGATATATTGGATGCCATCAGCTTCTATTTAAATCTGCGCAGCTCTCCATTCACTGAAATACTTGATAGTGTTCCCCTCAGAAACCGAGAAATATCATCCTCTGTGTTATCCGTCTGTTGTCATGCCAGACCATCTTTTCAGGGTGCACAGCACCATAGCCTGGCAACCCAAGAGGATGGTCAGTTAGTGATGTTCTCAGATCATGAACATCAGGTTGACAGAAGCCTTGTTACGATTGTTAAGTCAGATAAGCCTGGTCTACATGTGAGAGATTTTCATGGTCACTGGGTTCTTGTGGATGGTGATCTTGGTCCCCAAGAGGCAATAGTTTATCCTGGCCTTGCTCTATATCAGGCAACTGCGGGCTATATCAGCCCTGCACTTCATCGTACAGATACTGGTAATCAACAGGGGAGCATATATGGACGATGTTCTCTTGCTTTTAAACTTATGCCCAAGTCCATGACCAACCTCAATTGTTCAGAGATGCGGGCTGCTGGTCATGGGGTTGAAGCTCAATTCCAGCTTCCTGTACCAGTTGACGATTTTATGCAGAGATCAACTGATCAGTTGCTTAACAGGAGCAATTTCCCAACATTCAACTTTCCTACAGCCCAAGATGGTATGCCACCCTTTTTTCCTGTTTTCATTATCAATATTGAAATGATAATCTAGACTTACTGCATGCTTGCCTTTTTTTTCCTTTCTTTACATTTAGATATATTAGTAGACATGTTAAGGATAAGGTGAGCTAAAGTTGGTTTTCATGGATGGTTTCTCCCTGATGTCTTCAGTTGGAGTGCCAGTTGACTGCTTGATTGGTAAAGAAGCTTATCCTAAGCATGAAACTTCCATGCTTTTCGAGAAGTGTCAGTCTAGTAATAGTTTCTAGTTGCTAGAGTTGGTTAGCGTGATTATGAGTCAATGCAACTAATAAATCCGAACAAAAGCATTTATTGTTACTTTTGAAGATTTATGTAGAACCAAATCACATTGCTGATGGAAGCTGGTGTATAATAGTGTATCGCGTATCATTGTGGTCAGTAATATGAAAATTTCCGTGACAAGCTTAGCCATAAAAACTTTTGAAAACTTTGAAGTAAAAGAAGGACATAGTTTAAATTATTGCTGGTATTATCTTAAGTATCTGGAAATGACTGGTCAAAGACGGTCAAAGCAGATAAAGCCAACTTCCATCGGTTAGATTATGAATTAAAAGGTGCCAGATTCTGTCTGTTTGTTTGTCTGTATCACTTGCCAGAGAAAGGGGAGAAAAAGGGGAAAACGGAAAAAGAATCAGTGTGAAGGAGGTGTCTAGAAGCTGAATCTACATACATTTTAATGTAAGGGGACTAAAGAAGGAAAGCTTTTTTATTGTTACAACATCTTGGTTCGTTGTAATTTTGATGGTTTTAGTGTCTTCTCTTAGTTGTCCTTAAGCGATGTATTACTGCTTGCTGCATTTATTTAACATTAAATTGAGGTCTCTTTTCTGCTAGTATTCCTTAGTAAGAAGCTTTTAACAACAGGTCCTTGGATCGATGAAATGCTGATACAGGATCTATGAAGCCCATGATGAGGAGGAAAAAGAGCAACTCAAGATCTAAACCTCTACCACCTTCAAAGAGGTTGAGATTGGAGGCACAAAGAGTTCTCAAAGAGAGAGTTCAAGATATAGCTGATAAAAAGGGCATCAAGCTGAGGTTCTGCACCTTAAAGGACTGTGAAAGTCACATCCAGTCACTTGATAGCCCCTGTACAAACATTAGGATGGAGATTGGATGGCCAGCGGGAGTTCCATTTGTTCACCCACATGATCTCCCAAATAAGGCTAAGATTGGATTTCTTGAAACATATGAACCTGGTTGGTCGGCAACTCATGATATGGAGATAAGTCTAATCGATCCCGGACAGCCAAGTCAGCACACTGCTAACTGTACTGTCACTCCCCTATTTAGCTTTACTTTTTTGCATCAGTATCTTTATTTAAGCAGTAAATGTTTCTTGTTTCTTTAGTTGCTTATGCATGAGAGATTGCATATAAGATCACATCCTTTCCATCTTCTGCAATAGCCATGGTACTAGTAATACCATTTGAAGAAGTGATAGGTACTTCATCTATTTTTGCTTTCCACTTCACCAAGATTTTAGCAACAGTTCAAAACAAAAAGAAAAAAAAGAGGATAAAAGAACTTTTTCAATGAGCATAAAATGCCTTCTGAAACAAAATTTAGTCAATTCAAAGATACTTTCCCCCCCAGAAATTTGGAGAACATGAGGTAATGTAGATATATATTTCCCGATTAGAGCAAAAGCAGGGAAAAGAGGGGGGGGGGGGGGGGGGGTAAAGGCTTCTAGTATAAGCATAAATGGCGTTTTGAAACTATGTTTAAGTTAATCTAAACATATATTCAATTGTACCTCATGTTCTCCCCCCAAAAAAGCAAAGAAACGAAAACAGAGTAAAATAAAATTAAAAGGTACTTCCTTTTCATAAGTTTGGAGAATGCTCGTTGGTTGTGTTTTTTCCTTTTTTGGGGGGTTGGGGGGGGGGGGGGGTAGGGGGGGGGGGAGGTGCAGGAAAAGTAGATTAAAACGGGAATTACAATTTTCTAGTTGGAGTGGAATAAATTTGAGTTTCTTCGAACACGAACCAATTCTTGATGTAGATTTTCAAAATTATTCGTTCTTTCTCTTTTTGTACATTCTACATCATTCTTTTTCTAGCCAGACCGTTTCTGTTTATCTACTAGTGCACTCTAGAAATTCACACCCTCCCCGTTCTTTTCTTTTTGACTCTTGTATCTACTGAAGTAAAAAATTGTGTTGCAGGAATTCACATTCTTATCACATGCTGCCTGTGATGAGTACTTGGATTCTTTGGACCCGTATTTGGCTGCTTTAATTATGGTTGTCTCGCGCAGATCTTGCTAATTTCTATACAAATTTTCAATTAAGATGTGAAGTGACAATAAGCTGTGTCGTTGGTTATCCTTATCACTGAAAAAAAAGGGCAGCCTGGTGTACGAAGCATCCGACGTTCACGCAGGGTCCACAGAAGGGTCGCACCCCAAGGGGTATGATGTAGGCGGTCTACCTTGATGCAAGAATCAGCGGGTGATTCCACAGCTCAAATTGGTGACCTATAGGTCATACGGAGACAACTTTACTGTTGCTTCAATTCTCCCCTTCCTTATCACTATCCCTGTAAATATTAGTTTGTAAAATATTGATGGAATTTTAGTTAAATTCCCACTTCATCGATAATTTTGCCAGCTCTTGTACTCAGTAGTTTAGAGAGCATTCTATGTTGACCAAAGAGTTTGAATTTATGTAGTAATTGGATCTTAGCAGCCAGGTTTACTTTCGTTTTCAACTCCTATGTTGATGTTAGATTCAAACTCAGTGACCGAATGTACCAGCAAAGAACCAGACCATTATGTTGATGTTACGAGCAGCATTGCCTTCTTCTTTAATCGCCTTCCTCGCAAGGTCTCTATCCTCTTCCATGGCTTGTTGAATGCAACTTCACTCCAAGGCCCAAGCGATTTCTCTCCTATAAAATTATTGACAGGTTTCATCTACCGAAGCAAACTGTAAAATGGTGAACCTACTGGAGAGTTGGAACTGCATAGCACAGGCTCTCCTTTCCTCAAGTGCAATACAAGTGTGTCTAAATGCTAATATATATGTTGAAAAATAAAGGAGGAAAAGAGAGACACCAGGTTCTGTTGTAGGATGAGACAATGAGCCCGAACTTTGACACCCAATTTAGTTCAGAAAAAAAAAAGAATGCAAGTAAACTCTTTCTTCACTAGATATTTCTAGAGCAAACGCAAGTATAAAACTGTGTTCTACAAGAGCAATTACATTGTTCCTGATAAAAAATATTACAACGGGTGGACCAGCAGAATGACCCCCCAACATGTTAATCACTTCGTGTCAGTTTTCAGGGGAACACTGCAACTGCCTCTTAATTTGCTAACAATTTCTGTCGATCACCATGAGGCCAGAATCTTGGGACTTTAATAACCTTTAGATCCCCGCAATTGTTGGTTCTCAAATGGTAGTTCGATGGGCGCTGCATTGCCATAGAATTCTTCCAGGTTGTAGTACTCACGCTGCTGAGGAAGAAATATATGAACAACAACATCACCTGTAATTAAGAGAGACATGAAGTGACATATCAGCAACAATAATAGTTATAATACTTTTCATGATACTACATGGTTAACGCAAGTGTCAAATAGTAGCACCACTATTACATCATAAATATAAGCAGTTTTCATTGTCTGTTGTTGCTATAATTTCTTTTTACAGCCTCCTCCTCTCTTGAAAAAGGATCAAAATACTGTAGAGGATAACACTAACGCCAAGCGGAAATGATAAAGCCTGATCTCTATATAGACTTCAAACACAATTTTAATTTAGTGAATATACATTGAGCTAGCAGGGATATCAACAGGCACATAATATATAGCACCGCCTTCTCAAAACAAAACACTCAAACTCCAGTTTTTAGAGTTTTGGAGATAATATGTTCTATGGTCCTGACTATAACAGGTTTGGCCCTCGAGATAGCTAGCCAAGTTGAAACCAGAAGTTCACCTTATACGCGAAACTGAGTTTTGATAAGCACTACCCCTATGCAGCATGACAAGATTCAAACTCCTTCTCTCTTATATGAGACAGAGATCTCCGTGTTTTGCACCTTTAAATACCTTCTCCCATTCCCCCCTAGTAATACTGAATGGTTTGCAAGCTCATTTAACCTTGTGACAGTTCAAGCACTATATTTGAGTAAATTATGTCGGACAATTTGAAGCAATAGTCATAGTATATAGTTGCAGGAGTGGGTTAGTCAACAAATGAGGTACTGCCTGCTAGTCCTAATGTGCAGAACAATATTGTCTCATAACTGTACTTGTTTAGGTATGAAATGAAAAATAGTGGTGGGTGAAGAATGAGACAATAGCTGAATCAAATTCAGTACTGAAATTCTTCAGCTATGATACAGAATAATGGCAGGATCATTGAAGTGCCATAAAACTACTTACCAAAGTCTAGTAGCGTCCACGAGTTGGGTTTGAAATCTCCAGATGCAACTCTTCCATATTGTACCTCAGCCATATCTCTTATTCTGGTCCTTTATGACAAATTTGGATAAAATTCAGAAATGCAAAAAGCCATCCTCTTTTTTTATTTACTCATTTGTGGTTATTTTATGCTGTGGTTAATGTCAAATAAAAAACATTCAAGATATGATATCATACCCAATGGCATCAATCTGTGGGCGAGAGAATGCAGTAGCAATAATGAAAAACCGAGTCCAATATACTAGAGGCTTGACAAAGAGAACCTTTATATCTCCAGCCTTCACGTCACTTGCAACTTTAGCCACAGCCACTGCAACTGCACAGAGGGAATAGCACCGTTATCAAAATCGGTGTAGAGTTAATCATCACATACATTCACAGATTCTAAGTCCACTGGTGTTCTTTAGTCATTGATATATGTTCTTGTTAAGCAGGAGAGGAATAAGTCACTAATTAAGCGAAAAGAAAAGGAAAAAAGCAGCAGGAAATGCCAGAGCGGATATGTTGTTGTTGCATACACGAATCTCCATAAAACAATAAAGGAATACAAAGCAAGACAGCTATAAGGATCCTAAAGAAATGTAGATCGTAAGAATACGGGGCCAAAAGCAGCAGTATGTGTAACACCTAGCAGTAGAAAGAATAAGGATGTGCTGTAGTTTCTCGTGCAAAGCTCACTTCAATGATCATTATGAATTTCAGTTAGGGCATGGCGAAGAGGGGGAAAGCTTGGTTTATCACACACCTAAAAATAACATCCATCTCTTTTCCTTTCTTTATTCTCACCTTTCTCTCCTTTTTTCTTCTCAAAGCACCATATTGTTACCAATTTAGAGTAGCAAAATTTGGTGTGTTTTTCTTTATGATTATGTCTTGTATAGTTTTATGTTATGATGATGAGATTCAATAGTTTAGGCACCACCAATCTACATTGAAATTAAGCAACATTAGCATTAAACATCACTAAAATAAGTCAAACTTATACTAAGCAAAAAGCTGTGAACCAAATTGCAACTAAATATACTATCTTAAGGATTAGTCTATAATAAAACTTAGGATTATACTAGAGAGATCTAATGAAAATAATACTATCTGAAAAACCTTCTGGCAATACTACTTTTAGATAGAAGAGGCAACGGAAGTCCATGAACATTTTAATACATGAGCTCCTACACATAAAGATATGGAAGATGTTCGTGACAATTTTCAGTAAGTTTGGAGGAACAACAAATGCGACACGTATGTGATTGATCAGGCAAGTAAAATGAATGATTTGTAAACTAGAGGGGGCTCTCAAGTCTATTATTCACTATAGGGAGCTACATACAATGCAAGTTCAGCAATCATAGGGGGAGATAGAGTTTTTGCCAAAGAAGATAATAAATTAGTAAAAACAAGAAAAGGAATATGAGTTATGAAATTAAAGTTTGTCAGCACATTTTTCAATATTCTCAAAACAAGACGCAGCAACAAGATAAAATCAATCGATGTTCCTCATATAAAGCTATAGCCTAAGAGATTCAGGCTGCTTCAGCAACATGAAAAGTAAAACTATTGAGGTTCAAGCTGCTTTGGCAACACGGAAAGTTATCATTTTTAGTACTCCAACAATTTAAAGCAACTTACAGGATAGGCTTTCAGCATCATCATCAATCTCCTCAGTTGCAGGTTTTTGGTCATTTCTTCTGTAGACCACTTTCCCATGTTTCTTTAGGAGATCATCAAACATGTCATCTGTATCTTCACTTACATCCTGTACCAAAAGTATTCATGTTAAGTGCAGCGTCAAGCGGAAACATTAGCAAACATTCATATTGAAACACAGAGAAACCAGAAGAAAACACATGTAGCAAGCCTCAAGAACAGACTTATGAACTGAAAAGGGCAGCACAAGGAACAAAACATCCAATATTGACGCAGGGTCTGGGGAAGGGGTGTATGCAGGCAGCCTACCCTGACACAAGCGTTAGTGGCTGATTCCACGGTTCGAACCCGTAACATAACTTTATTGTTACTCCGAGGCTCTCCATCAAATCTATTGATGGAGATGCGGGGGGTCAAACCCTGTGCCTCTCGCATTCATATCTATTGGTAGTGGTTCAGTTTCCATAAAAACTTTTGTCTTCTTCCAAAAAGTTACAGATTAATTGTATCTTTTTACCCAGTTAACTCACTTTTATAAGGACTTTCTGTCATAACTAACACAACTATGCAACAGGACCAATAAGGGCAAGGACTACAGATTTTCTAAAGTCATGTCACTGGAAGGGGCAGTGAAGTCTGGTTTTAGGGACTAGACAACAATCTGAATTTCTCAAACAGTGAAATACGGTAAATCCTTTACTGTTCTTTTGGAAAGGCAGGGTCCAAACTAAAGAACCTTGGAAGTTGCAAACTCAAGTTTATCTTTTGACTCAGCTGGCAAATCCAACAATTGAGAACAAGGATTAAAAAAAAATGGAGATTGCTAATTAACAGGTCCTGTGTAAATTCAGATATTTTTGTGTTAATTTACAATAATATGTACCAAAACCCCAAAAAAGGATAATTGCTCTACAAAATGCAACAACTACACTTCAGTAAAAACAACAAGATTTGTAACAACAACAACACTAACTAAGCGTCAGTACCCAATAAATTGGGTCGGCTATATGAATCCTTCATTTAAATTATCTTATGCCAACATATACAAAGACAACAAAAAAAGAAGAAAACCTCTGGTTGTGTTAGAAAAGTGCAAATAGTGGAGTAGTTTCACATAGAACAAGAAAGGGGAAATCTTGAAGCTTTAGGCTTAGGGAATACCGAGCCAATAGCCATCCTAGAAAAATCTGTAGAGCTGCTTCTGCCCAAGTTGTAATCTTTAGAAGAAAATGGGACAGAATTCAGCGTTAAAGAATGAAGCTTTCTGGGGTTGGCAGCAAATTTAGCTTCCGTACGACCGCCGGAGACCAAAATTCCGGTGGAAGGAGTGCAGGGAAGAGGGTGAATGCAGGAGTGTAGTTCCATTTTCGATATATGGGGTTCGTTATTGCAACATTAATTAAAAGATGAGAAATGGGAAGAGTGTTGCTTGTACCAAATAATAATCTATCTATCTCATCCTCTATATCTCTTCTCTGTTTACTATCTTTGTCCCATTTTCGTCCTATTCTGGATAAGATTTTTGGGCATAATATCTTTATTTTAGTTAAGGGAGGACTGTTTTATAGTTTATGTAATACACTTCTCTTTTTATTATATTTCAAAAATTATATAGTAAAGTAATTTTTTTTTTTTTTTTGAAACTATATAGCTTAGCATTCTAATTTTGTTCTTAAGGATATTACTAATATCGAGCTACTTGTGGTAGCTATGTTTTCTTTGCATCTCTTGGCACCATTGTTGGATCACAGAAAACTGTTCGTTGTAATCATATACTAGTATGCATCAGTTAACCAAGAAAAAATTGTTCATATGATCAGTTCTCAATGAGTGATTTGGATTCCCTGTGGCATGATGAAGAAGCCAATTTAGATAAAATCAGTGTTTCAGAGCTTATAAAATTATACTACACTAATAATTTCTATTTTCTTTCAAGCTGGATCTTCTTTACTTTGTTTAAAACAGTTGCATAAAGTGATTAACAATCCATATTACTCAGGATCTGTCAGTAGAAATTTTCATACAACTCTGCAACCTTGAAGGATAACAACTTCAAATTGACGTGGAAATGCTACCACTAATATACAAAGAATTCAAATGCTACCCTAATATACAAAGTATTCAAATTCTATTGCCGTTATTACAGTTACAAGGATAAGTGAACTCATAATCCTATCCTAGGTGTGAAATATCAATTTCCAATCTCTCTCCCTGTTATTAGACATCTCTGAGGCAACGATAAGCTTTACTCAGTTTCCAAAAAATCCTGGACCTGCTTCTGCAAGTAGTTCCTTGCCTGCATCTTCGCCCATTCGTATCATGTCTTCAAACGTATATGGGCCTTTTCTAGAGGTTTCAATAACTGAAATTGAGGGAGATTAAAAAGATTATACAACAAATAACTAGAAAGGAATAGGTAATCAGGAAAGAGACATTCCCAGCATTCACACCCACTGTCACTTTTCTTAGGATTCGGTCAGTAAAAATTTTGTTTACCTCGAGTTCCATCTGGAGAGGCAACCAATCCTTTGAAAATACAATCTCCATCTTCACCTCGACAGGCATACCCAGCAATTGGGGTTCGACAAGATCCATCCAAGGTCTTCAAAAATGCTCTCTCACAAGCCACTGCTAATCTGGTTTCCTCATGATTCAATGAGGCAATGTAATTGGCCTGTACTTGCATCCATTAACTAACAGCACAACAAAGTCCTCAAAAGAGGAGAAATGAACAACTGGGGGAAGTAGGGGAAATCTGTATAGTAGCAGAGAAGGGCGCTAATACCATTGTCTCGTCATCAGTTCTGCAGGCAATACCAATGGCTCCTTGAGCAACAGCCGGTAGCATATCTTCTATAGGGAGAATGGAAGTTACGTTTTCTGTCATATTCATACGTTTTAGACCTGCCAATGCCAATAATGTTGCTTGAACTACCCCCTCATTCAGTTTCCTTAACCTTGTCTGAACATTGCCTCTGAAATTCTCCAGCACCTACGGGCAAAATACACATAAAATTATTGGCCTTGCTTCTCCAACTAATAAAAGCAAAGAGTCAAGCTTATAAGATCAGCAGAACTAACCTAAATAAGGCAATACAGGCTAGAAGTAAACAGAACAAAAATTTCACCACAAAATTTTGGTTCATCTAAATGAGATTAAAATTTAGAAAGTTTTGGGCTTCACATTTGCCTTCTCAAGGAAACAATTAGTGCTCCCGGAACATATCCCCGTATTAGGTTAACTATCAGAACAAGCAACACAACACTCCTGAATTTATTTTCACATATTCTTTTTATAACATTTCCCAATTTATTTGACTGTCAAATTTCTTCAATTACTTTGGCCCAGTTTGATCATGTTCTTAATAGTTGCAAATAATCTCCTACTAAATGCATACAATAACCTATTTAATTTTCTCGTTTTAACTTTCAAAGAAGGCATATGCGTCAACACAATCTAGATGGAGTGCAACAACGACCGGCATAAAGTATGATTGCGACTTTATAGGAAATTTGACAGTTTTTCTTAGTTCACTTTTTTCTTCTGATATCAACACATACTGAGAAGCTGGTATGTCGTCTTCAGAGACTGATGTGATATGAAATAGACTTACATTGAGTGAGGGATAGCGGTGGAGAATCTGTGACTTCCTCCTCAGCGAAGCAGTACCAATTGTGCTTCCTGACGGAAGCTGGGCCAGAGAACCTGCAGTTAAAGAAATGAATACATCCCTCACATCTTCACGTGGAAGGTTGCACGGTAAAATTGTCTTCTCTGGCAGATATGTGGGCACATCTTTCATTGAGTGGACAGCAATATCAATTTCCCCATTGATGAGAGCTTCATCTATTTCTTTTGTGAACAACCCTTTTCCGCCAATGTCTGCAAGAGGCTGATTTAATATCTTATCACCTGTCGTCTTTATTATTACAATTTGAATGGCTCCCTCTTCAGCAAGGTCAGGATATGAGGCTATTAGCTTCTCACGAGTCTCATAAGCTTGGGCAAGAGCTAGGGGGCTGTCCTACACAAGTACGTACATAATGCATAAGAGAAGAGTTTTAGCAAAAACACATCAGAGATATAGCAGTCCATTTTTATCCTCCTACCTCCCAGCCACACACAGAAAGCAGGGAAGAGAACAAAGTGTTAATCCGACTCAATGTTGAGACTTAAACAGTGCTCTTCAGCTCTTAAGTCTTCCGTGGTTGTTTTCAGATATGTTCAGGGATCAAGTAGAGAAGCACAAGAGATTAAGTCTACTAGCATTAATCAAATTCTAATAGGCATACACAAAGAGGATTGTATTTTTGTTTTCCCCAAAATTTCTTATCACCTTAAAAAGCCTACATTTTGACTAACACTAGTAGACATCATAACTAAATACAACACATTCTTAACAAAGGCATAAGCGGATGTAGATGGTAAGATATGGCTTCATACGAACCCAATAACTTTGGCTCATACTCTGTATATATGTAAAACATTCACTAAATGCGTACAAAATTATTGATTTCGAACCCTGTAAATCAAATGAGTTGTGGTAGAATCACAAACTCAAACCCATTAAGTTTAGATCTTGGATCCGCCTTTAGGCATAAACATGGGCATTAAGCCATTAACAGATTAGAAATAAACTAATCTGAAATATTCCTAACTATCACCAATGTATTACAGGGATGCGAACATCAGTAGGATTATGTTGAAGGAAACGAAATCAACATATTGTCCAACTACCCACGAATACACGGTCATTGGCAAAACTGGTTTCCCACATTTTCATTTCTGATTGCTAAATGTGCTGAGACTATTGAACTAACTGATAGTTGATTGATAAAAGTCTTCAATCTTTTTCACATTCAATTTTTGTTCTCTGTTGAAAGACTATAACTTTAAGCTCAGATGAATGTCAGCTGGGCATTCTGGTACAGATAGAAAAACATAGGGTCTGAAAAGTGAAATTGGGTAAAGAATAGACAGTACCTTCCTCTAGTGCCAATTCTGATGACAGCAACCTTAGTTTGAGCTTGCTGCTCTACAGCAATGGAAGCCCTTGTGACGTGGACCCTTGAGCGTTGAGCCAACACTGCAGATTTGAGGCATGGCGAAGAAAACCCAATTGGTAAAAGAGAAGCAGAGCTCAAGTTTGAAGCGTTGAGAGTAGCAAATTTCTCCATTGGAAGGAAATCAGGAATTGAGAGAAAAGGAGGTTGTGTTGTTGTTGCTACTTATCCTCAACAGGACATCCAGCTAAGTCGTCAGCTGTTTTAAAAAAAAAAAAAAAAATTCTTAAGAAAGCGGCTAAATGGGCCCTACTTACCGTCTGTTTCTCCACTTAGCTGCTACCACGTCATTTTCTCACCTTCCACCTCAACCAAATCCACCATATCCTTTTTAAACCCAAAAAAGAAAAGAAAGAAAGAAGGAAATGGTGAAAAGAGGGAGAGGAAAATCAAAATTTGAAATTGAGCAACGCTGTTTTCAGCAAAGAAATGCAAATAAGGTGGACTCTTTTATCATCAACTAATTTTAAGAAAACAAGAGGTTATTTCACCTACTAAATTTATTACTATGCTAGAGAATTATTTGGTATAAATGGCATAGGGTAGCCACTATTTAAGGTGATATTTATTTTTTATCAAGCAATTCTAATGTTGAGCAAAACTAGTTACAACTCTATTAAAATTAATATGAAAAGACATTTTTACCCTTTCTTCCATTGCTTTTCTTCTCAAACCCTCGCTTCTCACTCTGCATCGAATACATTGGCTCTGGTTTCTTGATTAAGAACTAAACAAGCTGGGTGTGGCTCTTGCAGAGGAAGTTAGTTCATTTATCTATAATTTTTAGCTGAAAAATACAAGAAAAGGAAAAGGAAAACACAAACAAGTGTTTCTCTTTTCTCAGTCTGAGATATTCACAAACAAAAATTAGTGCAAATGGGATATTTGTTGAAAGAGGTTTTGAAGACACTTTGTGGAGTGAATTAATGGTCTTATGCTGTTTTGTGGAAGTGGAAGATCAGTTGCCAGAATACCAATTGAGTTTTCATATTTCAATAAATCAAATTCTATTTTTTTTATGTGGGTCTTGAACTTAGAGTAGGAAGTTCTAAAATAAAGGAGATTTGGTCTTTAACTTAGAGTTACAAGCATAGAAATTAAGGACAGACAGTCCTTAACTTAGAGTTACAAGTTCAAAAGTCAAGGACACTTGGTCCTTAACTTAGACTAACAAGCTCAAAAGTTAAGGACTATAGGTCCTGAACTTACAGTTACAAGTTCAAAAGTTAAGGACAATAGGTCCTGAAGTTTGAGTTCCAAGTTCAAAAGTTAAGGATAATAGGTCCTTAACTTTGAATTCCAAGTTCAAAAGTTAAGGACACTTGGTCCTTAACTTTGAGTTACAAGTTAAAAAGTTAAGGACACTTGGTCCTGAACTTCAAGTTTCAAGTTCAAAAGTTAAGGACACTTGGTCCTTAACTTTGAGTTCCAAGTTCAAAAGTTAAGGACACTTGGTCCTGAACTTTGACTTACAAGTTCCAAAAGTTAAGGACACTTAGTCCTTAACTTTGAATTCCAAGTTCAAAAGTTAAGGACACTTGGTCCTGAACTTAGACTTACAAGTTCAAAAGTTAAGGACACTTGGTCCTGAACTTAGACTAACAAGTTCAAAAGTTAAGGACAGACAGTCCTTAACTTACAGTTACAAGATCAAAAGTTAAGGACAATAGGTCCTTAACTTTGACTTACAAGTTCAAAAGTTAAGGACGCTTGGTCCTGAAGTTTGAGTTCCAAGTTCAAAAGTCAAGGACAAACTTAGAGTTACAAGTTCAAAAGTTAAGGACATGTAGTCCTGAAGTCCTGAAGTTAAGTTCAAAAGTTAAGGACATGAGCAGAAGGGTATTTTCNAGTTCCAAGTTCAAAAGTTAAGGACACTTGGTCCTGAACTCTGACTTACTAGTTCCAAAAGTTAAGGACACTTAGTCCTTTACTTTGAATTCCAAGTTCA